GAAAACCGAGAATGTTCTTAGCTGAAGGAAGTGTGCCGGTAAAATTTGCTACTGGTAGCACTTGTCAATCATGTTTCATGCTGGACATGTTTCATGTTGGAATGCTGAGATTTTCGTGTTCAAATCGTTATTTTCCTCTTTTGTCTCATTTCTATCTCAGCTTATTTCACGTAATATCAAAAGTTCTTATTCCGTGAAAAGGTAAGTGAGATGCAAAACTCAAGCTCTTCTTTAACTTCTTAAACTTGTCGGTGAGTCATACAGTTCGCAGAGCTCAGTAAAATATGCTTTTAATGGAAATCAGCGTAAATTAAAATGGCTCTGAACGAAACTTCTCCACTCTTGGTGGCTGTATTGCGAGCTACAAATGGGCTTCAAAACGCCAAAAGGCGAAGAAATCCTACGCCTATTAACTCCCCCATGTTCTCGCTGTACTGAACCGAAAGAAACGTTTTATGTTAACAATTCATAGCGCACCTTTATTTCTATAAGGCGTCGGATTTATTGAGGCCCAAGTTTATTAAACAAAGACCAAAATTAATTAATTCATTTCCATGTCAACTCTAAGCAGGGTGTAGCAGTCACGAAAATACCTATTTACGTTTAATTCACTTTCTTAAAGTGGGGACTAAATTTTGTTATTCGGGGTTTATTCCATTGCTATACGGCTAAGTTATCGTGGGTGAAACTGTATCTAACTCCACTGCAGCTGTATAATTACCGTATGTAATATAGATTTGAAATGGAAACATACTTGTCTACAAATTCTCACTGTTAAAATTGCGTTTATCCATTTTTTTCCACGTCCAATTTCTTTCCCTTTTCAGTCTCTGTCAACCAACTGTTTCGTTGGCCCACTCTTGGAAAACAGAATGTACGGACTTGAAACACAAAGGAATTACCATCAATTTAAGGCAGCTTTTTGCGAAACTATGCGAATTTAGTCGTAAAAAACTGAAATATTTTAAAAAGTTGAAATTCATAGATAAAACTACAAGAGAAATTAAAGATTAGCGATAGATTTTTATTCGGTGGCTTTACGAGTGCTGATTTAATGAAATGTAGAATTAATTAACAATTAATGAATGAGGCTGAGTATCTTGTGAAGAATTGTGAAGATCGAGGAGGGTGTACGGCCTCGACGGATAACACCTCCGAGATCTCCATAATTCTTCATAAGATACGAAAGCCGAATTCAATAATTGTTTTATTATTCATTCAAAATAATTCTTAGTTTAAAAACATAGCTAAAACAAGCTTACCTACATCGATGTTGAGTTTATCTTCGAAAGTTTACGCTTAGGTTTGTCCAGCTGCGCAAATATTCTCCAAATAGCAGATGTCGCCCTCCGAGTTGTCTTCTTGCTGTTTTTGCTATGTTTTTAACCATTATTTCGCCTACTTCCAGCTGTAGTTCTTACTCTTGAAACGAGTGAAGTGTCCGCCATTTTAGTTTTACAACGAAAACAACTCAATCTCGTTCCCGGTCTTCTCGGTTAACGGTGTATTAACCTGTAGAAGGCTGCATTTTTGACGTCATTTCCTCGTAAAACACAAAATACTTCCAAATTTGGTCATCAGTAACTGGTTATGGCGAATTAAGCGTGTGCTTTTAGCCAATCAGAATCGGGGAAACATTTTGAATCAATAATAATACAGATTAATTTTGGGAAGTGAAGAAAATACGAGGACATCAAATGGTGATGACATAATTTATTCTCAGAACATAAAGGCAATTTTTTCGAGGCGTCAACTCTCGTCAAATTTCTTGAAACACTTGAGTCGTTTTTCTTTCCCCAATGTTGTTTCGAGTATCACAGTCGTCTCACTCCTCTGACAAAATACGCTTGGGTCAACATTGGAGAAGGTGATAGGGTCATTTGGGTGAGAATATTAAGAACATTTAGGAATTATTTAGGAATGAAGTTTCTTACGCAGCTGTAAGTCATTGTGGTGAAAATTTCGAAAAATTCTAGAGATTTTGTATCTCGGTTTCAACGATTTGTGACGAGTATTGTACATTGGTGTGGTTCACCATGACGGATTTTCCCAATTGCTGCACATAACCATCAAGCTAAAATGCCTGTCAATAATTTTGGTTAGACGTAAAAGCTGGCATTTACGCTCTCTTGACTCTTATCTTGCCACCATTAACTAACATAACTACTCTTAGCGAAAACATAATCTAGCTTCTTTATATATTTTTATACTCAGTTCTCTTAGTTTCGAAGAATTGCATTATTTTTCAGCACTAAAAAAGGAACAAACTTCAATTAAGGAACCATTAAAGCGCTTACAATAGCATGTTTAGCCAGTTTAATGAAATCTTTTTGCTTCATCTGTCGATATTCAGTGACCTAAAGAACATCCAGTGCTGTATTTTCTAGCTTAAGAATCTGATTCCGATGTTTATATCATGAAATTTGCTTCTCTCCTCGAAGCGTAAATACATCTTAGAAAATTCACAACCGAGACTTAAAACAAAAAATGAGCAGTGACTTCTCTAACCTGCCTTATTTTATTTTTCTTTCGCGCGAGTTATGTAATTTGGGCCACTACCTGATTCACTATAATTCATTTATTTTTTAAACTCGATCGCAAACGTGCTGCATTTTCCTTTCAAAATCGAAGAGGAAGAAAACCAAAAACGGTATTTTAGTACTTTCCTGTTTCTTTTCTGTTTTTCTTTTTTGGAAAATAGAACAAGTTTTCACTTTATCCAAGAACTGACGCTTTTATCCCAAAACTAACATTGCTTAAGAAAAAAGAGCAAAGACTTCTTTAAAATATGTTTCTGTCGGATTTATCCTTGACATCAAAGAAAGAGATATTTGCTCTGTATCACTTTTATGGTGTCATGCCCCCAGTGCTGTTGGTAAATATTCAGTAAAAACTGCGGAAATCATTTTAACACCAAGCAAAGGTCGCATAGGATGACAACGCGACGCGCTGCGTAATTAATTCGACTTCCAATTTCATAACAGGGTCATTTCTACAAGAATGTAAGCTTGATTGTGGAAGTAGCTTTTCTTTGCGTCTTGTGACCGTCTAAGAAAAGTCCGCAGAATTTTTGTAATAGTTAGTTACCAACGCTATAACAGAAGACGATGGGTTTATTATATCTTGAATGATCTTGAATGCACAGTTAGTTTTCTGATTGGTCACTTAACTGGGGTCTTGTTCCAATCTACAACCCGCTGTCTAATTTTGAGAGTTTGCTTAATGCGCCTGATTTAAGCCATCCATAGCTGTACTGAATAACTTCCAATACGTTAGTACCTTCGTTTTATGTGCACTGTAATGGTGCTCATGCGTCCCGCTGTGGGGCGAAAAAACAATAATAATCAAAAAATTCGGTTTGTAGCACGCGGTGAGTCAAGCTTTAATGCGATTGGCTTTCTAGGAAAAATAGACCTCTTACCAACCCCCCCCCCCCCAAAAAAAACGTTCCTTTTTCCTGCCCAAAGAAAACCAGACCACTAAAAGATAATAAAAAAAAAGCGTTAAATAAAAACAACATTGTAAAAAAAGAATACGAAAAGGAGATAAAAAAAATAAAAAAAA